GCGCCCCGGCTCGCCGGGCTGAGCTGAGCGGGCGCTGGAGATGCCATCGGCTCCCCGGCGCTGGGGCTGCTGGTGATGCTGGCCTCAGGGAAAGCCACTGCAGGGAGAGGTGGCCAGGATGGGTTGCACCTGGTTTGGGGCCCTTTCTGAGGGGGTGATGAATGAGAAGGCCTTGAGAAGGTCAACAAGGATACCAGAAGTATGGAGCAACCTACATATACAGACCAAGCAATGGACCTAGGAAACAAAGATGACTGCCATATCTCTCTAACTGGACAGAAAGGATGGCTGGGGGTCAGGTGTTCCCTGTCTCTTCCCATGTACCAGAGTTAAGAGACATCAAGTGACCCTCCCAAGGGCCATGCTTGACATGGCCAAAGAGGTGGTGCGTGCAACAGCAGGCAACTGAGCCACAGCACTGCTCACCCTGGGGCATGGTGGATGTTTACATGGGACTAGGAGGAGGTTGGACGTGAGATGGGGCTGGTGCCATGCAGGTCCTTCTCACCAGCACAGGGATGTGTCACATCTGCTCTGGGCACCCCATCGGGAGCAAAAGCGGGAACATGGGGGAGCAGGCAGGAGCTGCCTCAGGTGTGGACAGGATCCCTCCCTGCCTCCAGGCACCTCTGATGGTCTTAATGGGCCACCTCGGAGCCCTGCCCCTCAGAGTTAATGAAGACATAGACAGGAGACAGATGGTCAGCCTGTGTGGTAGCATCTCCCCTCCTTGGGAGGCTTGGCTGAAATCCAGAGAGCAGGACAGTGTGGAGACACAGGGGCAGGACACGGTGGCCCAGCACACACAGGAGCCTCCTTGCTGTCCCCTCCTGCCACACAGCAAGGGAAAAGCCAGGCAGGGCCAGAGATGACAGTCACTGTTCGTTTTTTTTCTTTTTTTTTTTCTTTTGGTTGGTTTTGGTTGCTCTTTTGCTCAAAAAAGGCATTTTTTTAAAAAATATATTAAACAGATACATTTTACTTAGATGTCTGTTGGCTGGAGCCACCGACAAGAAATGACCCTCCCCAAATAAATAGGCTTAAAAAAACCCCTCCCAAACAAAACAAATAAATAAATACATAAATAAAACAATTTTTTTTCTTTCTTTCTTTTGTTTTAGGTTTTGGGTTTTTTTTTTTCGTAAGGAATTGCAGCTCAGGGGTCTCTGCTGGTGTCCGTGACAGCAGCGTCCCCAGGGCAGGTGCCAGGTCCTTCCCGTATGGGATGCGATGATGCCTCGACAGGCACGAGATGCTCATGGAGAGGTGCTGGGAGAGATCTGCATCTTGGAGGCCTGCAGCGTGGTTCCCTATGTATGAGGGCATGGCCACAGGAAGGGTCGTGGGAGGTGCGCAAGCGAAGGCGCCGGTAGAAACATCTCTTAAAAAGACTACAAAAGTTGGGGCACCAAGGAGACCTTTGCTGGAGGATCCTCATGGTGGGCTGAGCATCTGCTCCAGTGGGGCCAGCAGCTGCCTCTGGCTGAGCCGCATCCCCCCTGGCCATTGGCACGACCCTCCAGCCACCGATGCTTGAGCAAAAGCAGTGCTGTGGGGCAACTGTGCTGGCGTCATCCCCACTGCGTGAGCCGTCCCTCCTCCACAGTCCCGCTGGCGTCTTCCATCCACTCAAGCCCTGTGTCTCTTTGGCTGGTTGCTGGGTGTACCATGGAAGCACACAGTTGGCACTAAGGTAAGGCCTTGATTTAATTTTTTGGGGTGATTAATTCTGCCTTCCCCCACCCACCCCAGGGAGTCCTTTCTCCTGGCCCCCTCTCTCCAAGATCTGAGTGGCCCCAGCCGTTAGCTGCACAGTTTGCCCGTCTCCTGCTGTACTGCATTGGGCAGCTTGGCATTGAAGGCCCTCAAGGAGGACTGGATCCTCGCCACCTCGTTGTTGGCCAACTTGAGCCTGTGGCGGAGCAAGCAAGTGAAGAGGTCAAGGCGGGTTTTGCCAGGGGGTGACAACCTGTTCACCCGGTCCCTGATCTCCAACAGCTGGAGCATGGCTGAGTCCTGGGAGCCCTGGGTATAGGGGTAGTCCAGCTGAAGGATCAGGTCACGAATAGCATCTGGTTCAAAGGGCAGACTGTACCCGAAGACTTGCAAGCTGTTGATTTTCATGTAGCCCAGGTTCTTAGAGGGATCTGCCATCTCCAAGGGTTCGTAGTAGATCGTCTCGTTGGAGCTGTCATCCAGAGACTTGATGCGGCTCCGCAAGTAGACATGGACCGTTTCAAAGAAGGTCTTCCACTTGTTGCCCAAGGTAAGCGTCCAGTTTTGGCACTGGGCAGAGGCATCTACATTAGTCCTTTCCCAGTCTGGGAAGCTGCCCTCGTTGACGGGCATAAACCAGCTCTCTGAGTGGCTTCCCCCGAAGGGGTTGACGTAGATGGCCATGACGGGCTCCAGCGTGCTGTTCTTGGTGAGGCAGATCTGCAGGGAGAGTGCCAACATCACGTGAACCAGCCCGGGCTTGTACTTGTTGCTCTTCAGGGTCAAGAGCATGCGTTTCCTCCAGGAGGGGTCGAACCAGCTCCCGAGGCGCATGTCATTGCTGATGAAGATGGAGTGCACCTCGATGCGGCTGTCCCGTTTCTGCAGGAGGTACTTAAGCTCCAAGTCCTGCAGGTCTGTCTCCAGCCCCAGGTAGTGCTCCAGCGAGTCGGCCACCTCGGGGCGGCAGAAGCCCTGGGTGAGCACGTAGCCATGGTTGCAGGTCCCGCAGCGGGTGCTGTTGTCCTCGGCACAGCTGGCGCAGGCTGGCCCCTCGCCCAAGGCACATGGTATGGACCCCTGGCAGGAGGGCTGGTCGGAGGGACACGTGCAGCTGTGACTTTCTTCCAGGAAGGTCCCAGGCATGGTGGTCTCGCTGCAGTATAGGAGTGACTGCGCACGGCTCCACCAGTAAGGGAGGGACCTGGTGGAGAAGAGATGCATGAGGAGAGATGCTTACGTGGCATCTGTATGTGTGCAACCAACGTTCCCTAGGGATGGAAGAGCTGCCCACCTTTCGTTCATTTTTCTGCACCACTGGTGCCCCCCATGAACCAAGCCCCATTTTCCACCTCCAGGCTTGGACCCAACCTCTCAAGGCAACATCCCAGAGTGGCACGGCTGCCCCCACTGCCTGCTCACCCCTGAGCAGCCCTCCAGCGAGGTGGGAGCTCCTCCAGTCTCAGCTACAGGGAGGCAGGCCGTGGGTCTGAGCTCCCCTTGGGGCTCTGAGCTGTGTCCCTGGTGTGGGACGGGGATGCTGTGGCACCCTACCTCTCCTTGGGCAGTTTGAAGCGAGGTTGCCGGTGGCAGCGTTTGCTGAGGTTGAAGAGCCGCCGGATGAGTCGGTGGGTTTTCCTGGAGAGCAGCTTCAGGCTGGTGCCCAGCTGCTGGTAGCGATGCTGGACATCCAGGTCCATGGCCCAGAAGTGGGAGATGGCAGTTCTGTTCAGGAAATGGTCCCCGGGGAGCCTCTTCACTAGGGCCTGAAACTCCTCTGCAGGGGGAGAGAGATGGTGTCAGCGGACCCAGGAGGGCTGAGTGGTGAAGGTAGGGCTGGAGCCAACCTCCCTCCAAGTGGGCTCTCAGGTCTTCATGGTGAGATGACCGCCCTGGATCCTGCCCCACTGCCCAGCCTGGGCTGCTCCCAGAGGAGGGGCTGTAGGGAAGGGGATGCTTGGTGGGGTCTCCCCAGCCTCACTTGACTCCTCGAACTGGCCGTGGTGGCTCTCCCAGGCTCGCCACAGCTGGGCCAGGCTGCTCTCCAGCGCCTGGACGTCGGCCTCAGGGCAGTTGCAG